ATACTTGATAAACTGAATACTTTTTTGTCTCTTGCAGTGGTCCAGTAGTAGTCCATGTCCCGTCTTCTTTAGTATAGGCAGTTAGATAGAAGAAACGCCTCTCAAAGAAGGGTCAACTTGTTCTAATTTACACAGTGGGGCCATGTGGGGTTTTGTTGTAGGTAGACCAACGGGTCATCCCTCACTTAAATGTCTCTTCATTCACAGCTACTTCCATATTTGCACTAAAGGAGGTACAGCTACAAAAGGAGGCCAATATTCGGTCTTCTTCTATGCCTGACTCAAGTAAGTGTGGCCCTCCCCTCTTCTTGCTCCACCCACCTACCTGCTTGACCACTAATAGCCATTCACTCTGCTTTCCCCTGCAGGCAGGCCAGCTTTCCGTGTGGTGGATACCGAGTTCTAAGCCAAGTTCTAAGCCACAGACCAAGGCCCCAGCAGGCAGCAGCTGGAGGGATGCTACACCCCTCACAGGGCAGCCCCCATCTGCATTCCTCCCTGCTTGTTGCCTGCCTACCTGCCTGAGCCACACTTTCCTACCAACTTGTCCCCTGCCACCTGCCTAAACACCCAACCACTGGCCTGGCCTGTCAACCCAACCACTGGCCTGTCAATTCAGCCATTGGCCTGTCTGCTGGGTGCTAACAAAGCTCTCACCACTACTTTGCTTGATGTGTCTCTGTCTTGGTAGTTGCCGGCGGACAAAATGGCCATGTCAGTCTCCCACACTAAGGCTAGGCCTTCCCCTTTTCATCGCGCTCTCCCCCAGGACCACTACCCTATGGCCAGCAAGAGGGTTGGAGCCAGCTCTGGCCATGGTTCTTGATTGACCTTGACTAGAAAGTGGTGATGCTTTGGGTCTGAGGCATCCTCTGCCTGCTGTCCCACCTGTCCCACCTGCCTCTGTATGGGCCTTCTTTTTTGTTAGTTCTTTTATTGTTTTTTATTATTATTTTAAATGAGGTTTTCACTTTTTAATGCAATATCTCTGTATACAGACTGGTTGGCCCCTACTCTGAGTGTTGGCCCTCCTACAGTATTTTGTGCAATGAAGTCCCACTCTCAGCCTTTCAGAGACAGGGACCCAGACCCTATTCAGATCCTGACCATCACTAGACCCTGGGATTGGCTATGGGAAAGCATGCCTCAGCTACCTTCCTCCCCATCTAGTGTCCCCAGCTATAGGGGGACCTGAGAACTACCAGAGAGTAGGGAGATGGACATTTTGGGGGCCTATTTTTCCCTTCAGTCCTGTAGCTGGGGCTTCCTTCCTTCTCAGGGTCTCCCCAGCCCAGCTCTGCCCAGCCCTCCTGCCCTGTCCCACTCGGTGCTGTTGAGTAGGGGCTCTGCCAGGAATTGACCAGCTTAGTGAGGAGCCCTGTATAGTGTGTATATGTGCACAAGCAGGTTGACATGCGGGAGCTTGTGCCCAGTTATATCCCAATCCCTGGGAAGGTAAGGCAAGGCAAGGACAGTCCCCTGGATGGATGGTTTGCTCCCCCTTCTTCCACCCTAAGCCTTGGGACCCTTAAATGGGGTGGGAGGGCAAGGGAGGGCACCCTTCTCATGGGGTTTGGGGGGATCGGGTTCCTGAATGCACCGTAATCGCTGTATGAAATATTAAAAATCTAAATGAAAAGTCTGGTTGTAAATCATCATAAAGGCAAGGGGGCTCAAGCTAGGGTGATCACTGTCAACCTTGGTGAATCTATACCTGGTCCCATCAACTAAAAGCATTGGGAAGGAGTTGTGTGGAACTGTGAAAAAATGTTGGAAGGATTGCACATAGAATGGTGGGATGATGTGAAGAAGTGGGGCCGGTTTAGTGGGAATCAATTGAGCATAGAGGAGTTAGGTTTATCCAGCAGTGTGGACAAGCCTCACAGAATGGAGGCAGAAGACAGAAGGCCCGGTAGATCCAGACTTACGGTATGAGGCAGAAAGGTGCAGTATGTTGGAGAGAGAATAAAAGGCATAGTTTTTTGTTATTGGTTTTATTTTGTTTTGGGTTTTTGAGACAGTGTTTATCTGTATAGCTTTGGAGCCTGTTCTGGAACTTGGTCTGTAAGCCAGGCTGGTCTCAAACTCACTAAAGATCTGCCTGCTTCCGCTTCCTGAGTGCTGGGATGGAAGGCGTGTGCCACCACCGCCTGGCCTGAAAGTAGTAGTTTTTGACCATTGGTTATATAAAGGAAAAGTTCAAGAGTGAGGTCACGGTGCCAGAAGTCTGGATGACTAGTTTCTGGAAATTCTGGAGGTCATATGTATGGTGAAGTTTGTAACAGCCTGTGCCTTGGAGATGGTTCAATTGGTAATGCATGCTTGAAAGCCTGAATTCAGACTGCCAGCACTCATGATTAAAAGGATGGGTGTAGTGGGCACTTGTAATCTCAGTACCGGGAGTAGAGACAGCAGGATCCCTGGAGCTTGGTGTCTAAAGAACTGGTGAGCCTGGTGGTGGCGCACGCCTTTAATCCCAGCACTTGGGAGGCAGAGGCAGGTGGATCTCTGAGTTTGTGGCCAGCCTGGTCTACAGAGTGAGTTCCAGGACAGACTCCAAAGCCACACAGAAAAACCCTGTCTCGAAAAGCAAAACAAAAAAATCCAGAAGGGAGGCAGAGGCAGGCAGATCTCTAAGTCTGGGGCCAGAAACCCGGTAGGGAGAGGGAGAGGGAGAGGGAGAGAGACAGAGGAGAACCCAGTAGGACGCATTCCTATTTCTGTCAGTTTTGTAATAGGATGTCGATTCCTCAGCAGACTTCCTGTGCCCATTCTTGGAATTGGTATGAGAAGAGATTGGCCTCTGGAAGGCGAAGAAACCAGCTCTAAGGATGGGGATGAGCAGATGCAGAGGCAATGAAAGGAGTCAATTCAGATGGAATTGAAGATCAACTATCTCCTTGTGCCAAACTCCATTTCAATACTATGTTCTTTGGGGGTGGGCAGCAAGTTAAAGGAGTCCACTCTCTCCTTCAGGGCTCATGCAATGAAGTGAGCTCATCTGTGTCAGGTTGGATTAGAGGATAGAATCACAGTAACAGACACCCCACCACCACTATCAAAAAAGTATGTTCTTGCCTGTGTGTACTATTTGTTAATAGTGAAGGCAATCATGAAACTTGCCCCAAGTTGTGACGACAGCCAATAGAAAGGTGGAGAGGTATGGAGAATTAGTCATTAACAACCAGTATGGCTGAGAGCTCTAATAGAAAAGGGTAACAGCCTAGTAGGATGCTTCTCAGCCAGAGAAAACCTCCCCACTAGGGGACATTGGTAATGTCTTGTGAGTACAAAGCTCTTGTTGCTCTGAGAGTTGCCACCACTTTCTAGAAGTAGAGGTCAGGGCACAGCTTAATTTCCCACAATGGAGAAATTTAAATAGTGCTGAAGTTAAAAGTCTGGCATAGAGCCTGGCACACCTGTAACATTGTACTTCTAGTATTTGAAAGGCTAAAACAGGAGAATCACCATGAGTTCAAGGCCAAACTGAGCTTCATATTCAGAATTGAGACACTTATTTCAGAAAAACACCAAAAGAAACCCTGGCACATTCAGTGGCTCTTAAATGTTTGACTTAAGATTTCATTTATATAAGATTGAGGACACTCAAAGAACTTTTGCTTATTCCAAAGTACCTTCTGGGTAATTTCACTATATATGTGTGAAAACGAGAGTGAAGATACTGCAGAAATAGTTTTGACTTTGTGAAACCCCCAAGAGGGATTCTTGAGCTGATAGCCTGTGACCACAGTTTGAGGATCTGTTTGGTGTTTAAGGTCACAGCTCTGTAACTAGGTCTGCATTGCTACAGCACATCCTAGTTGAGAACAAATGATTTGACATTTCTGGATCTCAGCTAACCCCATTGTTAATCATGGGCCAAAAAATACAGTACCTGCCACCCAAGGCATTTAAGTTCAAGTCACTTAAACTGGCAGAGTGACTATTTGTTATGCCTCCAACAAACACATGGTTTAGGGCTGACTTCATCAGATTTGTCTGGTGAGTAACTCTAGTTCCGGAAGCTCAGTGTTGAACAGTATGCTTACAATCCACACTTTGGAGACTGAGACAGTTGGGTCAAGGCAAATCAGATGCCAGCCTGAGCTCCACAGAGTTGGAGGCAATTTGGGGCAGTTTAGCAAAAGTCCTGTTCTCAAAGACAGACACACACACCCTAGTTACGAAAGGCAACCCTGTGAGGCTCTCAGGAGGTGGTAAACTTTCTGTATTTGAGTTAAAAAAAAAAAACAGAGACAGGCAGTGGAGGCACAGGACTTTGATCCCAGCACTCAGCAGGAGAATCTCTATGATTTCGAGGCCACCCTGGTCTAGAGAGCAAGTTCGAGGACAGCCAGGGATACACAGAGAAGCCCTGTCTTGGAAAAACAAAAAACCCTAACAAAAACAAAATACCCAACTATTTTACTTTATGTGTATGAATGTTTCCCCTGTATGCATGTATGTGCACCTTGTGCATTCCTGCTGATCCCCTGGAACTGGTGTTTTGGATGGTTGTGAGCACTGTGGGTACTGGTAATTGAATCCCCATCTTTTGCCAGTGCAACAAGTGCCCTTCATTGCTGAGCCATCTCTCCAGTCGCTACATTTGTTTTTGATGGACAAGAGGGTAGTGCAATGAAAGGTAATTCTAGTTAGGCTAACAAAAATGGTGCTTTCACAGTGTGTGGGGGGGTGCAGTCCTCAACAGAGCAAGGGGCAGGGAGATTTGCCATAAGCTCTTTTTGTAAGGCCCAAAACACACATCTTTGCTCATGTGGAAAACCTTTAGCCTCCACCTTCCATAAGACCTTTTGACCTAGTGTTAGAATTCCATAAGCACTAGTTCCAAACTGGAGGGTTAACCCCTGGTATTGGTTACACAGATCACAGCCCACCACCCAGTTTCCGCCTAATAGTGACGTTTCCAAGATGGCAGTGGCCCCCTGATTGTTGGGGGGCTCTGCTTCCGTTTCCGGGACAAAATCCGGAAGTGCCAGTTGAGGGTCCTCTTCCTATCTTCAGTTGCGTCGGCAGTTGGAGGAGAACGGACGGAGATGGCGGCGGTCGCAGCGGACCCAGCTGCAGCTGCCATCCCGGCCTCCGCCGAGGAGAAAGAGACACAGCGCGAGGCAATGCCAGACCTGGACGAGCAGTGGCGCCAAGTCGAGAATGGGCGAGAGCGTCCACTGCGAGCTGGCGAAAGCTGGTGAGGCTGGGCTTCAATGAAGCCTTGGCCCAGGGGACTGCGGGGGCGTTAGTATCCGCGGGGTACTTAGAAGCCAAATTCCGAGGAAGAAGAGGTGCGAGGCGGGGAAGGGGCTTGGTGGACGGGTAGGAGATGGGGGGCGTGGAGGTGCTAGTGAATGAATCGCAGCATTTGGGGAAGAGGCGGGGCAGTTAGCCGCCCGAGGACAAAATGGGGCTTGTTTGTGGCAGAGGCAGGGCGTGAGAGAAATGGCCTCGGAGGTAGGGACTGCATCTTCTGGGGAGGGGGTGAGAGGGGACTGCGTCTGGGAACCTGGAGCCTGCAAAGGAGGCTGGCTCTGTCCTTAACGCGGGGGCGTGGCGTGTGTTACGAAACATTGCGTCGGTTGCGAGGAACAGCCTACGAGTACTTGGAGCGCCTGTGAAGCCGAGGAGCTTGGTGGCGTCAGCTGAAGAGCAACTCCGTAGCCTATAGCAGTGGGCCGAGGGGCGGAGGGCGTGGTGGGATGGGGAGGGTGCCTGGCTCCTGGGAACGAGGCGAAGGTCTGAGGTGAGGCAAATGTGGAGGAGGGGCGGTGCCGAGGGCAGAAAATGGCGCCTGCGAAAGAGCAAAGATTGTGACGCGATAGTTTTTGTTTGTTTTTTAGATTTATTATAGCCAAGGTCTCCTTCCTAGGACAGGAGAAAGTGCAGATTACAAAGGAAGGTTCTTTGAGAAGAAAATTTTTTCTATTCAATAATATTTTGTAATCAGTAGAAAATGGTGTTTAAAAAAGAACCCACAGCCTTGACAAATTGTCTTTACTGATATTTTTTAAAAAAGGCTAATCACTGCCCCAAAATTTACGGCTTCAGGGTTCGTATTTCACTCTGAGTTGCGTCTTGTTTTTTAAATTGTGAAATTCGTAAGACCTACAAAGATTATAGTATAAAACATTTTACATAAATTGATGGACTTCCTGATGAAAGAAATGGTTTGTATGCTTCAAAACGGCAAGGTCGTGAAAGACAGATGCTGAAGAACTGTTCCAGATTGAAGGAATTAATGTAGTTTAACAAGTCACAACTAAACGCAACATGTGATCCTCAGTTGGATCCTAGAACAAGGAAAAATAAATTATTTTTTAAAATCAGGGTTCTTTCTCATAATTTCTCTTTCACTGTAAATTTCATTGTAAAAAAACGGTGAAATTTGACTAGGGCCAGTAGATAAAATATTGCTACTGATGATTTCTTGTTTTTGATCATTGTAATATGGTAATGAAAGAATATCCCTTGTTTGGTGAAAAATACACACTGAAAATTTAGGGATAAGGAACCATCATGTAAGCAACTTATCAAATGATTGAAAAAACTAGCCTATGTAAAAATGCACGTGGAAGGGAGAGGATTATGGAAATTTCATCATAGGATGCAAAATTTAGTTAGACTAGGAATAAATTCAGGAGATCCATTGTACAAAATGGTGATAATAGTTAATAGAAATCTATTCTATACTTGAAAATTGCCTAATAGACTTTACATGTTCTTACCCAGAAAACTGTGACACAATTGATATGTTAAGTAGCTTGTTTTAGTGTTTTCAATGTGTATATCAAAACATCATGCTGTATACCACAAATGCACACATTTTTGTCTATTTTAAGATAAATAAAAATAACCCAAAAATGATATGGGGGAAAAATAAGAATAGAGCAAATGGATAAGGTATGCTAGATTTGGGGAATCTAAGGGCATACAGAGAAGTCTTTGTATTATTTTGTCCCTCTTTTTTGGACACAGAGTCTCTCTTCTACATAGCTCTGGCTGTCAGAGCTTGATCTCAGAAATCTGGCTGAGATTACAGGCATGTTCCACCGAGCCTGGCTTATTATATATTTTTAACTCATTTTCAATGAGTCTATTTAAAAGAAAAACAATTACCAAGTTTTATGTGCAGATTCCTCACCCATGGGAGATTCAGAACATTACCTTAAAAACTCCTGTGCTCCTGTCAGATGGAAATTCTCCTCCCTGCTTCATGAGGAACTGTTACCCTAAATTTTTAATTAAAGGGCTCTTTTCACATGTTTCATTATCATGATATGCTTTTCCACCATTCATATTTATAAACATATGTATCTATATACAGAGTGTGTTTATAAAACAGACTGGATGCATACTGTGAGCCCTTATATGACATGGTAAATGGTATCTGTATGATGTAATCTAAGACATTAACCTTGATCTGTTGGCTGTAGCTCTGTCTGCCAGGTTTCTCAAATGTTAAGATGTTGTTCTATTAAGCAATAATTCTTAAAATACTTATTTAAATAAGTATGCATATATCATGTCCATCTGTTCCTCAGGATGTCCAACAGCTTCCTGTCTCATGCAGCATAAATGATAAAATCCTGAGTGACCTGCAAGAATTTTGGAGGCTGGTACCCTACTTGCATTCTGTTTTTCTCCAGTCTCTCTGATTACCAGCCCATCAGCCCCTCCCTTTCAGGGCCATCCATAGTAGTCTGTTGCTGTTCTTTACATCTCCGAGCCTTTTCCAGGCTTTCCCACTTTACAGAGTTCCTAAATAACAGTGCCAATGAAATGTATATACATTATTGAGGAGATAAGTTACAATTCCAAGACTGGAGGATATAATGATGTTTTTCTGCCATTACATCATAGTTCTCCAGCAAAGAATAGCCTTAGTCCATCTTGAAAATAAACAGCAAGCTCACTGTTTTTGTAGATCATTTGAAGATGTCCAAAAGGTCCTCAGAGCTTTGTTTCATGCCCCTTTCCATTGGTAGATAAGACATGGCATCCTGTCTTCTTTGCCAATAATCTTTTAATTTATCCTGCCAGTAGTGGATCTTTGGGGGTGAGGAAAATGTTTTGGCACTAAGTAGAGGTGGTGGGTACAGAATATTGTGAATGTACTAAATGTTAATGAATTGTTCACTTTAAAATGGGTTAATTTTATGTTAATTTCACCTCATTAAAAAAATTACCACACCAGTGTTGGTTGAATATTAAAGCCAATTTGTTTCTCCTGTTGGAATTGTTAAGAAGCATTTTTGCCAAGCTCCACTTTTTGTTGCTTATCTAAATTAGGTAAGAGCAAAGTATCTCAAAGTCCTATATGGGTTTGCTGCCATAGCTGGGAAATATGTGTTTATACAGCATTTGAACTCAAGGACTAGCTCCAAAATGTGCATCTGTGTCGGTATTATCTGCACTTCCCACCCTCCGTTCAATAGCAGATTTAAACAAGTGCAGTTAACTAATTTGGTTGTCTTTACTGATTCAACTTAGATGCATTTATTTGGGTGGGGGGGTACTCCATGTGATTCAGTGTGCTAAAGGAGGCCAGAGAACTGCTTGCAGGAGTATGTTCCTTTTTTCCACTGTGTAGGTATGTTCTGGGGCATCAAATTCAGGTCAGCAGGCTTGGTGGCAAGCACTTTTACCTACTGAACCATCCTACCCACCCTCCACCTTATTTTTGGATAACAGGGCTTCTGGTTGAACCTGGATCTGTTTCAGCTAGATTGATACTCTATTTCCACTCCTCCCCAAAGTGCTGAGATTACCACCATGCCAGACTTTTTGCTCAGTTTTTTCAGAGATACTGAGGATCCAAACACAGCAGGCACTTGACCCAGTCCTAAAAGGCTTATGTTTTGAGACCACATTCAAGTCTCTGAAAAGATAACTTCCTTAGAAAGTTTTAGTTCTTGTGACAATGAATTATCTACACATTTAAATCAAGGATTGTTGAGAAACATTTGGCAGATTAGTACAGGGTGCAGACAACTTTCTAACAGTAAGCAACTGTAGATTTTTTTCTTTCTTTCTTTCTTTCTTTCTTTCTTTCTTTCTTTCTTTCTTTCTTTCTTTCTTTCTTTCTTTCTTTCTTTCTTTTCTTTCTTTCTTTCTCCAGACAGGGTTTCTCTGTGTAGCCTTGGCTGCCCTGAAACTAGATCTATAGACAAGGCTGATCTCAAAACTGAGATCCACCTGCCTCTGCCTCCCGAGTGCTGGGATCAAGGGTGTGTGCTACCACTGCCAGGCCTGGTTGGAGTTCTTAAGAAGAAAGGGTGGCTAGGTTTAGAAAGGTGCACACTACATGAAGAGAAGCCAGTTTCATAGGATGTTAAGAAAGGTTGAGGAAAGGTACTTACAGTAGTATATCTAATCCTACATGATCAACTGTACTTAGTGAGGAAGGTAAACTTTGTTTTCTTGGGGTCTTACATTGTAGCTCAGGCTGGCCACAGACTTGTGACAGTTCTTTGCTAGCCTTCAAAATTTTTTGTTGTTGTTTTTTGTTTGTTTGTTTGTTTTACAAGACAGGGTGTCTCTGTGGCTTTGGAGGCTGTCCTGGAACTAGCTTTTGTAGACCAGGCTGTCTCGAACTCACAGAGATCCACCTGCCTCTGCCTCCCAAGTGCTGGGACTAAAGGTGTGCTACCACCACCGGGCCAAAGTTCATTTTCATGTGTCATTTTCAAAAATATTAAATAGGAAGAACTGGAAATGCTGACACATGCTTGTAGGCCCTTTATTCCCAGCACTAAGGAGGTAGAGGCAGGGCAATCAGAAAGTCAGAGTCAATGTAGGGTACATGAGAACTTGTTTTTTTTTAAAGTTGGAAAAATGAAAGCTATTACAAAAATTTCAAATTAAAACTTCCCAGTGGCAAAGCTACACAGAGAAACCCTGACTCGAAAAACAAAACAAACAAACAAAAACCCTTCCTAGTGGTGTGGTAGCACATGCTTTTTAATGCCAGTACCCTGGAAGAAAAGGCAGGCCTGGTCTACAAAGTGAGTCCCAGGTCTTACAGTGAGTCTCTCAATATATTCCTATTGTCCTTTTATCAGAGAAAAACAATTTTGTGTTGTCTCCCAGAGATAATTTAGGCATAAAAGAACATTTTTGCCAAGTTTGGAAAGACAGATAAACAGTAAACAGTACTTAAGAGATGTAGGCATGGTTGCTCATTTGTGTGACTTCACCTTTCAGGCAGCTAAAGCAGGAGGATTGCCACAAGTTTGAGGCCAGCCTGGGAAGAATATTTAGAAAACAAGATGAGCATGGTAACACATTTGCAACCCTAGCACTTGGTAAGCTAAAGCAGGAGGGCAATGAGTTTGAGGACATCCAGGGCAAAGAAAATTGTTACTAGCAGGACAGGAAGCATAGTTACTTTGTTTTTGGTTTTTTTCGATACAGGGTTTCTCTGAGGCTTTGGAGGCTGTCCTGGAACTAGCTCTTGAAGACCACAATGGTCTCAAACTCACAGAGATCCCCCTGCCTCTGCTTCCTGAGCGCTGGGATCAACGGCATGCTCTGCCTCTGCCTCTGCCTCTGCCTCTGCCTCCTGAGTGCTGGGATTAAAGTTTCCCACTACCAACACCTGGCTGAAATATAGTTACTTTTATAAGAATATAGTGGTACAGATTATTAGGTACTTATGGTTATCCTCTTTACATAGTTCAAGGGCAGCCTAGGCTATATAAGACCCTGTCTCAAAACAAAAAAGATGAATTAAGAGTATGCAACTAGGTGGTGGCATTCACCTTTAATCCCAGCACCTTGGATGCATAGGCAGGGGAATCTCTAAATTCTAGGCTAGCCCAGTCTGTATAGTGAGTTCCAGGACAGCCAGGGCTACATAGTGAGACCTCGCCTCAAAACAAAAATTAGAATGAAAAAAGGGGGACATCAGAAATGGCTCAGCAATTAAGAGTATATACTGCTTCCAGAGGCCCCAAGTTTGGTTCCCAGCACTCATGTCAGGTGGACCACAAACATCTGTAACTAGCTCCAGGGGATCTGATGTCCTCTAAGAGCTCCCAAGATCACATGCACATACTTATACACGTGCACAATTAAAAGTATGAAAAAGAAAGCACTAAGAATTGGTAATAATTTGGTGACAAAAATATGACTAGTAATTTTATACAAAAGACCCAAACCCAAATCTTGATCATATTTTGATGTGTTGGCCACAGGATAGTAGGAAATTAAGGACTTACTAGTAAGCCTTTATGTGTACTTCAACTTATTTAAGTAAATTTGATAGAGCAATGTTATATTTACCATCTGTAACTTTTTTTTAATTGTGCAGGATGATGGTGATAGGCTGGTGATAGGAGTAAAGAAAGAATTCAGCAAGATGGAAAAAGGCACCAGTAAAGAGTTTATGTAAGAGATGGCTTTCATTGAGGCAGGGGTGTTCTGCTTAGACAGTTAAGCAGTGTTTCAATGATGCAATGCCCTGGGACATTTGTAGTTGGGGCTTATGGTAGAGTTAACTCTGACCTGATAACAGTCACCAGTGGCCTTGCTTTGTTCCCACCTTGCCCTGAGTCAGTAACTGCCTTGTTCTGAGAATATCTGCCCCAGAGTGGTTTTTATGAGATTAAGCCTTACTCTAGCCCTGGCTGGGCCCACATTCAAAGCAATTTTCTTGCCTCTCCCAATTATACTTACCTGGTTGGTTAGGTGTGTGTGTGTGTGTGTGTGTGTGTGTGTGTGTGCGCGCGCGCGCGCGCTTGTGAGAGAGAGACAGAGACAGAGAGACAGAGACAGAATTCAGTCTAAGGCCTCTTGTATGCTAGGCAAGTGGTCTACACTAAACTATATCCCCAATCCTAAACTGAAGTTTTGCTACGGAGTGATTGTAGTGCTAAAATTTCCTTTCACATCTGATTTTTAGGAAGGTGAGGGGTTAGAGAGATGGTTCAGTGGTTAAAAGGGTGTACTGCTCTTGCAGAGGACCCAACTTCAGTTCCCAACACTGAAGTAAGGCAGCTCACAATTGCCTGTAACTCCAGCTCCAGGGAAGATCTGAAGCTTTTGGCCGCTGTGAGCACAGTTTCACCCACAGGCACGTGGGGATATATGTAATTAAAAATATTTTTTGTTGTTTTTCGAGACAGGGTTTCCTGTGTAGCTTTGGAGCCTGTCCTGGAACTCGCTTTATAGACCAGGCTAGCCTCGAACTCACAGAGATCCACCTGCCTCTGCCTCCCAAGTGCTGGGATTAAAGGCTTGCGCCACCACTGCCTGACAAAAATCTTATTTTTAAGGTTGACAGGTGCCTCCCTTTGTACTGAAAATACTGTTAACTGTACTCCATACATGAACCTCATAAACTGAGTGTAGGGGCCAGTAAGCGGTAGGAGGAATGTATGTGTTTGTAAGTTGAATGACAGATTTTTGGCATGAGCTCCCAGGTGGCAATGAGTATTTTTCTGGAGTGAATGATGTGGCATGGTCTGGGGAGTGGAGAGGGTAATGTACAGTCAAACATCCAAAACACACAGAAATTCAAAGCCAGGTGTGATTCATGTCTGTAATCTAGCATGGAAGCTGAGGCAACAAGTTCACTGCCAGCCGGGACTGTGTAGTGAAACCCTGTCTCAAAAGAGACTCCAGACTAGATTTATATCATAGTTGAATGTGGGGAACTGTGCACACACCTTTTAATCCCAGTATTCAGGAAGCTGAAGCAGAGGGATCCGTAGAGCCTGAGGCCAGCTTGGGCTACATACATAGTATGTTCCAGGCCTGTCTGGGTGGTACAAGACCTCATTTCAAAAAATAGGGCAATGAATGAAAAAATTGAATAATGTCCAAATGCATTTCACTGAATAAATTCTACTTTTTACTTATTTTACATGCTGCTAAAAGTTTTCTTCTTGAGCCAGGTGTTGGTGGCGCATGCTTTTAGTCCCAGCACTCAGGAGGCAGAGGCAGGCGGATCTCCGTGAGTTCGAGACCAGCCTGGTCTACAAGAGCTAGTTCAGGACACCCTCCAAAGCCACAGGGAAACCCTGTCTCAAAAAAAAACAACCCAAAAAAGTTTTCTTCTTGGATTATAATGGATTGATAGTTAATTCTGCAAGTGATGAGAAGTTGTACAGCTAGCTTCCAAATAATCATAACATCTTTGTTGTCTGTCTGGGTTCCAGGTTCCTTGTGGAGCAGCACTGGTATAAACAGTGGGAGGTGTACGTGAAGGGAGGGGACCAAGATGCTAATACCTTTCCTGGCTGTATCAACAATTCTGGGCTCTTCGAAGGTACTAAGCTTCTGCCTTTCCCCGTCAACCTTGCCCTGGAGCTCTGATCTTCTCTGTCCCCACTCCCATTCTCTATGCTTAGTTATTGGTGGTAGCCAGAGTTAACAGTCCTTTCTTAATCCATGCTGTGCCTTGTCCATACTCCCTATTCCCTGCAGATCAGATAAACTGGCACCTCAGGGAGGGACTGCTAGAAGGAGATGATTATGTGCTGCTCCCAATGACTTCATGGAATTACCTGGTCAGCTGGTATGGCCTAGAAGATGACCAGCCACCTATTGAGCGCAAGGTATATGTGTGGAGCAGATGCTTGGGGTGGATTTTAGATTTCTAACTGTAGGCTCAGGGTAGGTCCAGAGTATGTACCTGTGTTCCCCCTGTTAGTTGGGTGGTTTTATGGGTGCTCCTCTGCCTTCACAGGTCATAGAAGTTTCTGGCATCCGAAAGGTGGAATTATACCCAATAGAGCTGCTGCTTGTCCAGCACAGTGATATGGAAACAGCTCTCACCATTCAGTTCAGCCACAGTGATTCTCTGGGTGAGTCTGGCACAAATTGCTATTTGTGGGCCTCTGGCACAAATTGCTATTCCTAATCATGAGTCACATCTCAATAGCCTGAGGGTGTCTGGGGATCCAGTTACAGCTTCCTGAGAAGGCACCAGTCATACTGTGGAAGACAAATGTTGCAGTGGCCATGTTGAGCAGACACTGGCTATCTGCTGGAGTCCAGAGAGGATGAGCTGTATTGCAGTTGCTTAGGTGGGATGGAAAATAGTGTTTATTTACCTGGGGGGGTGCTTAGTGTGTGGCTCACTCATTTGGAGATTTGTTTGAGGACACAAGGTATTGGCTAAGTAAACAGTCTGAAAATGAGCTAAAGCTATCAAATGGCCCAGTATTCTGGGGTCCCAGAATATATGGCCATGTTCCATCAACCTCCACAGACTTAGTCTTGCAAACAGCTCGGGAGCAGTTTCTGGTGGAGCCTCAGGAAGACACACGCCTCTGGGTCAAGAACTCTGAGGGCTCCTTGGATCGATTGTGTAACACACAAATCACACTGCTTGATGCCTCCCTTGAGACTGGACAGGTAACAGTGGGGAGGATTTCTCTGCATATATAGCCTGGTGGGTAGATCCCTGGCAGTTGTCAGACCAGGGAAGGGCAGGGTGCCCTTTAAGCTTTCCATTAATACTTCTCTTTTTCCTTTCTCTACCCTGGCCCAGTTGGTCATCATGGAAACCCGAAACAAAGATGGCACTTGGCCCAGCGCACAGCTGTGTGGCATGTGAGCCCTCGGGGTGTCGTGCAGATTTGGGGCACCCCACAGTAGGGAGACAGAACCTACGAGTACAGAGCACCCACCTGTAGTAGGCCCTTAGCTCATAGGTTTCTCATCCAACCCCAGGAACAACATGCCAGAAGAGGATGAAGACTTCCAGGGTCAGCCGGGCATCTGTGGCCTTACCAATCTGGGCAACACGTGCTTCATGAACTCGGCCCTACAGGTTGGGCCATTAGATCTATGTCTGGCACAGTTCCAGGGGTTAGGTACTGGGGACAGAGCTAGGGGATGGAGGGATGATGATTACAGTACAAGGGGTCAGGTTGAAAGCCAAGGCTCCACAAATCTGATCTGGTGTGCCCACATTTTCTCCTGAAGTATCAACACCTTTTCCCTCTACTTGCTCCCCGTTCTTGCTTCTTTCCTTTGGTACTGCCATTTCCTCCTACAGAGATACTGACATCTTTCCCCAATACTTCTACTGCACTCACACTGCCAACCCTTCCCCTTCTCTCTCCCATTTCCCTGTCCTCCCTCCTTCTCTGTTCTCACTTGGGCCACCTCACCTCTCCTCTACCTCTTTCACTGGGCCCTACTACCACAGTGCCTCAGCAATGTGCCACAGCTCACGGAGTACTTTCTCAACAACCGCTACCTGGAGGAGCTCAACTTCCGGAACCCTCTGGGCATGAAGGGTGAGCTTGCTGAGGCCTATGCAGATCTGGTAAAGCAGACCTGGTCTGGCTACCACCGCTCCATTGTGCCGAATGTCTTCAAGGTGTGACTCAACCCCATGGGCTCCCACTTTCTTTTCTCTTGCTTCTCCTAACTCCTACTCACTCTACCACCCGACTGTCTCCTCAGAACAAGGTTGGCCATTTTGCATCCCAGTTTCTGGGCTACCAGCAGCATGACTCACAGGAACTATTGTCATTCCTTCTGGATGGGCTACATGAGGACCTCAATCGAGTCAAAAACAAAGAATATGTTGAGCTGTGCGATGGTGCTGGGCGCCCGGATTTGGTAGGCTACCCATTAAAGCTACAAGGCCTTAGGAATTCTCTGGTTTCCCTGGTCTACCTAACACCTTACCATTTCCTCCGTTCCCCTACCTTGAGCTTTACCCCACCCTTAGTCATAGCAGCATGTCTGTTCCCATAACTTTGGAGTTAACCCCAATCAGGCACCTATCCTTCATAAATCCCAGCTCTGAAAGTAAACATAGTTTCCAGATAGACCTAGATGTTGTTCTGCCACTAAACTTCAACAGTACCTTTCCCCCAACCACTATGAATCCATCCCCACCCTTTCCCTCTGCTAACACACCATGAAACTTGTCAACAGGAAGTGGCTCAGGAAGCCTGGCAAAACCACAAACGACGAAATGATTCTGTGATTGTGGATACTTTCCATGGCCTCTTCAAGTCTACGCTGGTGTGCCCTGATTGTGGCAATGTGTCTGTGACCTTTGACCCCTTCTGCTACCTCAGTGTCCCACTGCCTGTCTCCTCCAGGAGGGTCTTGGAGGTCTTCTTTGTTCCCATGGATCCCCGCCGCAAGCCAGAACAGGTGGGGAGGGAGTATGGGAACACAATGAAGGATATGTAATCAGAATTTGATTACTTTCCCCGGAGTTTTCTGCATGAAGCTACCGTAAGCTCTTTTGATCGTCTTTGGATCTTCTTTCTCCCTCAGCACCGGGTTGTGGTCCCCAAGAAAGGCAACATTTCAGATCTGTGTGTGGCTCTGTCCACACACACAAGTGTTGCACCAGACAAGGTAAGACTTTGCAGAGGGAGACTGGGTAGGTAGGATTTGAAGGAAGAAGGTCCTGGCACATGCACTGTTCTCATGCCCCTGTTCTATCCCTAGATGATAGTAGCTGATGTCTTCAGTCACCGATTCTATAAGCTCTACCAGCTGGAGGATCCTCTGAGTAGCATCTTGGATCGGGATGATATCTTTGTGTGAGTGACAAGATTAAGGGGAGTGGATAGAGGAAGCTCCTTCCCCTTTTGTTTTGCCTTGCTGGGGATGGAACCCAGAGCTCCAGAGCATGTTAGACGACTACTCTTAATATTTGATACTTAGTACTTGCAATTCAGTACATATACCCATAAAGAAGTAAATAAATATATAGAGAGAGCCAGAGACAGGGAGATGGTCTCCCTATGTAGCCCTAGCTGACCTGGAAAAACAGTGCCTTGCAAATAGAAATTTTCTTTGTAAACCAAAGTGTTTTCCACAGGAAAAATGTTTTTTTTTTTTTTTTTTTTTTTTTTAAAAAATATTTTTTTTAAGAATTTATTTACTTATTATGTATACAGTCTTCTGCCTGCATGCAGATCCCATTCAAGGCAGTTGTGAGCCAACATGTGGTTGCTGGGAATTGAACTCAGGACCTCTGGAAGAACAGTCAGTGCTCTTAACCACTGAGCCATCTCTCCAGCCTAGGAAAAATGTTTTAATCTTTGTTTTTTTTTTTTAAATTAACCCCCTCAGTATTCCCATATTACCCAAGCTCTTCCTAAAACAGCATATAGGAAAAGTGCTAAGGAAGTCACTTAGTAGTTCATAAAATATCAAATATTTCACAGGTTTTTAGACCCTTTAAAATATTTTGGGGAAAGGGTAGACAGATAACTCAGTGGTTAAGGGTACTGGCTACTCTTCCAGAGGACCCAGGTTCATTTCCCAACACCCACATAGAGACTCACAACCATCTGTAATTCCAGTTCCAGGGGATCCAGTGTCCTCTTTTGGCCTCTTGCAGTCACCAGGCACACGTGATACACGGACATGCATATAGGCAGAACACCCATACACATAAAATAATAATGATAAAATATTTGGGGGAGGCAGGCAAGATGGCTCAGTGGGTAAAAATACTTGCACAAGTCTGACAACCTGAACCCATGACGGAAGGAGGAAACTGACTTCTGAAAGGTGTATCCTCACCTCTACATGTATGTCAGTATGTCCATACTCAAACACACACACTAATAACTGAAAAAAACCCTACACTCTTTTGGACTGAGGTGAATGATTGGAGCAACTGGAGGGCAAAGTCAGGGAATCTTTCTTGGGATTCCTTAGTCAAAAATAAATTAATCACCCCTCCCCACATACACACACAGATATGAGGTGACTGGTCGGATTGAGCCTGTTGAGGGTTCAAGAGATGATATCGTGGTTCCTGTTTACCTGCGAGAGCGAACCCAATCCCGAGACTTCAACAACTCCTACTATGGGCTGATACTTTTTGGGCACCCTCTCCTGGTGTCTGTGCCCCGGGACCGGTTCTCCTGGGAAGGCCTATATAACATCCTGATGTACCGGCTTTCGTAAGTACCGCTTTCCTAGGATCAGGGTGGTGTATTTGAGTGAGGAGACCAAGGTCAATAATCAGACTTGGGTTCTGTATTTGGCACATCCAAATGACAGTTCAAATTGAACATGGTAGTAGAACTTCTGGGGCTTTTTCTATTTTTAGACCTCTGGCTTCTCTAATGCTTCTCTTTGGTACTGGTGAACCAAACTGAATACAGAGGCGAACAAGACAAAATAGAGACAATTTCATTTTGTATATAATTGTCTCTACAGAGAGATTTGGATATATTTTTACTAGTTTATTCTTGTATCTAAAATCCAGAGTCCTTACCATGGAAAGGTACGTTATTAGATGAATTTCTTCTTCATTCTAATTCAAAAGTTCATCCTTGCTGGGCATTGGTGGCACACACCTTTAATCCCAGCACTCAGGAGGCAGAGGCAGGTGGATCTCTGTGAGTTCAAGGCCAGCTTTGTCTCCAGAGTGAGTGCCAGGACAGTCAAGGCTACACAGAGAAAGTCTGTCTTGAAAAACAGGGAAAATATTCATCATAAGTCTTCTCAGAGGTCAATTTGAATTCGTAATTGATTGTATATCTGTGTTTACCGGTGGCTTTCGACTTAATCTCCACACTCCTAACTACTACATGAATATCTATCCCCAGGCTACTACTGGCATCCTTAGCCTTTTTGTTCATTTCTGTCACTACTTCAGCATTTTCCAGGTTGGTGATTAAGAACTGTTGGGTGTGGTAGTACATGCCTATAATCCCAGCTACTTGGACAGCTGTGGTAAAATCATATGACCAGCTTCTGTAACTTACTAAAACTGTCTCAAAGCTGGGTGGTGGCGCACACCTTTAATCTCAGTTCTCCGGAGGCAGAGTTGGATCTCTGTGCAAATCTAGACCAGCCTAGTATACAGAACAAGTTGCAGGACAGCTAGGACTACATGGAGAAACCCCATCTTGAAGAAAAAAAAAACCTGTCTCAAAATAAAAATATTTCAGATAAGTGTTGGGAATGTAGTTCAGTGGTTAAGCATTAGCTTAGCATTCTCAAGACCTAGAAAGGAAGGGAGGGAGGGAGGAAGGAAGGAAGGAAGGAAGGGAGGGAAGGAAGGAAGAAAGAAACCTGCTTATGTGTAAGTTAACCACTAACTTCTCTACCATACCCAAGGAAAACCTTGGCATGCCCCATCATCCTTGTGCCCCCTTCCTTGGGAGTCTTCTCTGCTCTGTTACAGACGCTACGTGACCAAACCCGCCTCAGAAGAGGATGATGGAGACGAGAAAGGTAAGGCCCTGGAAGATGAGAAGGGCCCGATAAGGATGAATGTATCTTAGTAGGGGTAAAGGGCTGAAGAGCAGTAGGTTTGGGGGATATGTATGACCCATATAGGGATCTTCAGTATGTGTGGAAGCCCAGTGCCCTGGAGTGCCCACATCTCCATCCCTTTTGTCCTTCTCATCCTAGGTGATGAGGAGGAAGAGGAGGAGGAGGATGAGGAGGAAGAGGATGAGGAGGAGGAGGAGGATGACAACGAAGACAGCAGCAGCGATGAAGAAAAAGAGGAAATTCCTGAACCTTCCACTAGCAATGATGATCAAGAAACAGAGCAGGAGCAGGCTGGGCCCAGCTCTGGGGGCACCAGGAGATGCCCATTTCTCTTAGACAACAGCCTTCACACATCTCAGTGGCCCCCAAGGCGACGGCGAAAGCAACTGTTTACCCTGCAGACAGTGAACTCCAATGGAACCAGTGACCGGAACACCTCCCCTGAAGAAGTTCAAAGTATGTCATTTGACTGGGGTTGCAGATAACAGGAGGGTCTCCTAGTAACAGGAGCATAACCATCTCATCTCCTCTGCACCCCTAGCCCAGCCATACATTGCCATGGATTGGGAGCCGGAGATGAAGAGGCGTTACTACGATGAAGTAGAGGCTGAGGTAAATGGGAATGGGACCCTAGGGATGGGAGACCCTTGCAGCTCATACCTCAACCCTTTATGCATCCTCCCCCTAACTTCAGCTAGGAACAGAGCCAAGAGATCCAGGCCAGGGTCAGCCTGACCTTGGCACCTGCACACTTCTGGGAACGCCATGGCCTCAGGTTCTAACTCACCTAGTGTGTGATTCCACACTGCCCTATTTTTCTTGACCTTGCTCATGCCTGACCCTCTGGGTACTAACCCCCCCTCCCCAGGGATATGTGAAGCATGACTGCGTGGGATACATGCTGAAGAAAAGTCCAGTGCAGCTGCAGGAGTGCATCAAACTCTTCACCACTGTGGAAACCCTTGAGAAGGAGAACCCCTGGTGAGGGCCTGTCATGGTCATGAGACGTTTCACGAGTGGTACTAGCTTTGTTTAACAGAAGTACTCACAAACTAGAAAAATGAAAGTAGCAGGCATACTGAAAGTCAGAGTTCCTTTACAAAATGGCAAGAAGCCATGCAGGGCTGCATGTGAAGTTGTCTGGGAGGGAGAGGGAATGAGTGAGCACGAGTCTCTATAGACCAGATGGTGTGCATAAAGAACACACGAGACATGAGGTGGGTGCTCAGAGTGTCCATCCCTGACTTGGCTTCTATCTGTAGGTACTGCTCCTCCTGCAAGCAGCACCAGCTGGCCACCAAGAAGCTGGATCTCTGGATGTTGCCTGAAGTTCTCATTATCCACCTGAAGCGTTTTTCATTCTCCAAATTTTCTCGGGAGAAGCTGGACACCCTGGTGCAGTTTCCTATCCGGTCAGAACCCTTGGAGAGAAAGGCTGTGGGGGAAATGGGATGGTACAGGTGGAGCACGCCAGGATTTATTGTCTTCTCACCCACAGGGATCTGGATTTTTCCGAGTTTGTCATCAAACCAAAGAATGAGTCTACTCCAGACATGTACAAATACGATCTCATCGCAGTTTCCAACCATTATGGTGGCATGCGTGATGGACACTGTATGTACCATCTGTGGGCAGGGACATGCCCTGGGGGAATCTAGACTAGTGGTCAGGATGTACCCAATGTGACTAGACACTGGGCCAGAGACAAAAATCATCAAGGCAGGAGGAACCTAAAAGTAGATGTGGATGGAAACCCCAGAGAGCCAGGAAGGTGGTAAGGATGACTTTTTGTTCATTTCAGATACGACATTTGCCTGCAACAAGGACAGTGGCCAGTGGCACTACTTTGATGACAATAGTGTCTCACCTGTGAATGAGAACCAGATTGAGGTATAGCTTCTGTATCCCCACTTGTTCCCTTTCCTATTATCCCCTTCTGACTTCCGAACTGACCCATGTCCTCTTCCTGCAGTCCAAGGCAGCCTATGTTTTGTTCTACCAACGCCAAGATGTGGGTCGCCGCCAGTCCCAGACTGCTTCATCCAATACCCCAGCTTCTCCTGCCTCTGGTTCTCCATCCAATCCTGAAGTCATGGATGTTAACTAAGGGGAACTGGAACTACCACAGAGCAAGACAAACCCTTTGCCACTTCCTCTTGTCAACCCCCTCCCTTACCTGTGTTCATTGCCCCCAGGCATTGCAGGCTTAGTTCGTGGCTACTGTATTCTTGTATCGCTGTATTACTCTCTCAGAAAGAAGAGGCCCTGCGCCCCTGGCCAACCGTGTGCCCCTGGCCGACCGTGTGCCCCTGGCCGACCGTGTGCCCCTGGCCGACTGTGTGCCCCTGGCCGACCGTGTGCCCCTGGCTGACCGTGTGCCCCTGGCCGACCGTGTGCCCCTGGCCGACCGTGTGCCCCTGGCCGACTGTGTGCCCCTGGCCGACCGTGTGCCCCTGGCTGACCGTGTGCCCCTGGCCGACCGTGTGCCCCTGGCCGACCGTGTGCCCCTGCCTGTGTGTGCCCGTACAACAGTGACTTCCCTTCCTAGTCTTATTTATGCTGCCCCTTCCCATCTTTTCCTTACCCCAAAGTGTTCTTAGTGGCTGATAATGGGGGTTCACATGAACACAGAGTGTATTTTCTTATTGACACCATATACCTTCTGCTGTGTGTTAAATATACATAAAAAGCTCCAGTCTGTCCTGCACTTAGTAGTGTTGTTTTTTTCTTCCATATGTACTTACTACACACTAGTTGTAGGTCTTTATTCTGCATACATATTGAAGATCAGGTGTCGTATGTGGCTGATGCTGTTCTGAGTGGGTTTGTTGTTGTTTTTGAGACAGGGTCTGTCTTTATAGCTCTGGTTGTCCTGGAACTTCCTGTGTGGACCAGGCTGGCCTTCTACTCAGATTGACCTGTCTCTGCCTCCCATGCACTGGGATTAAAGGCATGGCCACCACACCTGGCAGTTTTTTGTTTTTTGGGTTTTTTTGTTTTGTTTTTCAAGACAGTTTCTCTGAAACTGCTTTGGAGCCTGTCCTGAAACTCCCTCTGTAGACCAGGCTGCCCTCACACTCAGAGATCCTCCTGTCTCTGCTTCCTGAGTGCTGGGATTAAAGGCGTGCACCACCAACGCCCGGCTACATCTGGCAGTTTTGAGTTATTTGAAAGGTGCCACAGGTGCTACCTTTCAAAAGCTTTTAAAATACTTGCTGTAGGGACTATATGGCTAACCTGGAACTTGCTATGTAGACCAGGCTGGCCTTGAACTTGCAGCAGTCTTCCTGTCTGCCTCCTAAACACGAAGATTACAAGCATGCATTACCATTCCTGGCTCCAAAGTGTGTTACAAACATGAACTCTGCCCTCATAATAGACTCTTGCTAGAGTTGTCATCTCTAGTTTTGGGAAAACAGGCACAGAAGTATAGGAATGGATTTGGTTCTATCAGCTTATTGGCATCTGCATATGCGTATAGATTCTTAAGCTGAAGATTCCTTGGATCTGAGATGCTCTGGAGATACTATACTGAGGACACGTGGAAGTGATAGGCACAGCTGTGGGCAAACACTGTTTGGGGGCATAAAGATACTCACCTGAGCAGGACTCAGGTCGTAATACTACCCTCTGAGAAGACCCTGTCCTCAGAAGAACTATGAAGCTAGTAGACCTGGGCCAGATCAGCCAGCTGTTTCTATTTCTGGGACTGGTCCTCTGTACTACCAGGACCACAACCCCCACTAGGAACTTGCCCTCCTATCTGCTCAGAGAAAAATACAGTGGCACTATTTGCCAGAGGACACAACTGAACAGTCAAAAGATGCCATTCAGTGAATACTGAACATGTCTCATAGGATGCTGCCCAGAGGCACCAACCATCACCTCTGGGAACAGCTGTGGGTGGAACAGACAGAATGAATGTCCGGCATCTGTATATAACTATGCTACCTAGTGCTGGCGAGGGAGGGGGTGCTGATTAGTGGCACCCAAAGGGCTATTGCCACTAAGTTTGCAGTGTCCTGGCAAAAAAGTAAAAGAAGGGATACAACTCAGGGACAGCTAAGTGGAAGACATGTAGAGGGTGAAATATGAGGAGTGGGCACCTTCCAGCCCCTTTATGTATATGCTCACCGACCAGCTCTCTAACCCTAATATAAGGGTGCTTACAGAAATTCTATTACATAGGAGATACAATTGCTTAAATTACTGGCTATTGATGATTAACTTAATCTCCAGCCCTGCTCCCCTACCTAGGGTGGTGGGGGATGAAAGTCTTGGTTGCTTTTTTTAGGGATGGGCGAGGGGGTGTTGAGACAATCTCATACATCGTAGGCTAACATCAAACTCATAGCTAGGAATGACTTTGAACTCCTGATCTTTCTGCTAGGGTTATGGTCATGCACCACCATGCTAATCCTAATGTTCCAGTTTTCTAACCACTAGGTTAGTTCCTACAGCAACGAGCCCCTATTTTGAAGGTATTCAGGGACCCACCAAGGGCCATCTCATTACTATAAACTAAGTATACTTGAAAGGACTTTTTATGAACAAGGAGCTCCTCCCATACTGTAACTAAGGAAAAGGAAAGAAGGGAATAAAATGCATACATTGGGCATGGTAGCATTTACCCAGAATCCTAGAGTTTTAGCTCTATGCCAGGAACAAAGATCAAGAATATTTATTATATCACATCATCATTATTATTATACAATAGTGTTCTCTGTTAGTTAATGTCTTTATTAGTTCAGAATCCATTGATTTTTTTTATTTACTTTATTTTGTGAGCATGTGTGTGCTATGTGGGCTATGGCACACAAGTGGAGACCACAGAACAATGTGTGGGAATCAGCTCTCCTGCAACCATGTGGGTCCCAGGGATTGAGCTCAGTCTTGGTGCAGGTGAGTTTATCTGCTGAACTACATCAGCTAACCATGTTTTATTTGTTTATTTTGATAAAGGGTCTCTCATCCCAGGCTAGTCTTGCTCTTACTGTGTAGCAGAGAATGACCTTGAACTTCATATCTCTTTGGTTGTTGTTGGGGGGGTTGTTTGTTTTGTTTTTGATATATAGAGAACATCTTTACACATCCCTGGCTGTCCTAGAACTAAGTAGCCCAGGGTGGCCTTGCACTCACAGAAATCTTCCGGCCTCTGCCTCCCAAGTGCTGGAATTGAAGGCAGGCGCCACTATTTCTTGCCTTTTCCTCACTGTGTAGCCCATGCTAGCCTCAAACTCACATCAGTGGTCTTTCTCTGTCTCTCTCTCTCCAGTGCTGGCTACAAACTGTTCAGTACTGGGGATCAAACCTAATGCATTGTGCTCGCTAGGCACATGCTGTACCACTGAGCTAAGTTATGGCTCCAGCTCAGCTTCATACCTCTTGTTTTTGTTTTGAGGCAAAGTCCTGTATAGCCCAGGCTGGCCTGGAAATGGAGGTCCTCTTTCCTCAGCTTGTCAAAGAGTGCTGTGGTTACAGTACTATGTTACTATACCCAGCTAAAACGTGGATTTGAAAATCAAATCTGTCTCACATCTACCCTGGCAACCAAAATACTTCAACAATTATTTTAAAAGTGTTTGCAATAACATCATAAAATAATTTTTATGGGCGTTCAGAAATTGCATAGGGCTTCTAGAGCTTCTTCATGATAATACCTGGGGATGTGGTGTTATCTTGTGATAATGAGGTTATTCTGCATTTTGCCCCAAAGCAGTTAGCAAGTAAGTGATGTTGATGTAAGTGATGTTGATCAAGATGTTCCTTGCAAAGTACATTCTTTCCACTCCTGTCTTCTAAAATGTGCATTAGAGCAAGTTCAGTGTTTGTAGAAAAAAATGTTGATGTGCCAGACTTTGTTGATTCCCATGGGAGGCCTTACCCCTTCTGAATGGAGATAGAGCAGGAGTGGATGGGGTATAGAAGGGAGGTGGGGGAGTGAGCAGGAGGAGTGAGAGGAGGGAGGGGAAACTGGTTGGTATGTAAAATAAATACAAAAAGAAAAAGTTTTCAACCTCTTAATAATATCTATAAATAGGCTTTAAAAAACTAAAAAAAAAAAGAAAAGAAAAGAAAATGAATTTCTGTTACTTGAAAGGTGAGCCATGTTGGTAGGTACAACAGCTTTCTAGGGGTCAGGTAATTATTTTAGGTCAACTCATTCTTAGCTTTACCGCTTTCCAACCTGTTCTGTGTGATTGATGGCACCCTGGTTTGAGAGCTCTTCATCCCAGGATGGCAAGGCCTTGGGTGCAGCAGTGGTAGTGGAGATGACTGACTCAGTGCTGCTGGCATTGAGTTGGAAAGTAGACATTTGGACAAAGCTGACTTTCTCTAGCATCACTCTCCCAACTTTCAGCTATTCCTTGTATCTTTGTCTTAATGTGCAGTCAAGACAATGGAGGTTATTATTCTGTTGTGAAGAAAAGACTGGGCTCGCTCATTACTGCTGCCATGTGTTCATTCATAGTGCCTGTGCTGAGCGTTTCTGGAGACTCCCATAATGAAACCAAAGCCCTCCCATCCTCTCTCCTCACCTCCTCAGTCTCACTCTTAGCGGTAGAGTGAAACCAATGGCCTCCTGCATGCTAGGCATCAGCTATTTCACTAAGCCACATCCCAGTCCCTGCCTCTCCATTGTTTGTTTGTTTGTTTGTTTATTTAGTTATTTTTCTCTGAGACAGGTTTTCCCTGGGTAACCCTGCTGGCTGTCCTGGGACTCACTCTGTAGATCAGGCTGGCTCTAAACTGGAGAGACCACCTGCCTCTGCCTCCTGAGTGCTGGAATGAAAGGTGTGCACCACCATGTCCAGCAACTGTCACTTCAAAAACTGATGTGCCAGGGGCTGGAGAGATTGCTCAGCAGTTATAAACCCTGAATACTCTTGCAGAGGATCCAGGTTCGCACCCATATTGTGACTCAAAACCACCCATGGATCCAGTTCTAAGGAATCAAAGTCAGCCTTCTGGATCCCAAGGGCATCAATGAACATACATACATACATACATACATACATACATACATACATACATGCATACAAACAAACATACATACATACATACATACATACATACATGCATACAAACATACATACATACATACATACATACAGGAAAACATACATGCA